ATCATCATCGTCGTCCCTCGAGGTCCAAAGCAGACAGGTGGCCAGGAAGCTGCGAACCGAGAGCCTGCCGTCGGACGTGACGGCCCGTCCAAGTGCGCAAGCCGCGCTTCCGGACTCGAACGCAGACCGCTCGGCCGCCGCGCCATGTCACGGGGAGGTCTCTCTGCACCCCGCTTGTGCTGCTGCCGAGGCGGCGCAAGCCTGCGAGGAGGACGAGGAGCAGCAGCAGCAGCAGCATCGAGCAGCACCGACAGCAGCAGTGGCACGAGCGGCAACGCCACAAGCGAGCAGAGGGCCGGGCTCTGAGAGGGGGGGGGGACGGGGGCGGGGCGGAGGAGAGCGAGAAGGGGGGCAGCGGGGCGGAATAGACGAGGAGGGGACGTAAGGCATGCAGCGCACGGCTCGTCCGTGCCCTCGCCCGCGGGCGCGACAGCGCGAGAACTCTGCCCACGCCGAGCGGCCCCCGCCGCGGAGGTCGCCTCCAGGCGCGTGCTGCCACGGCCTCCCGCCGCAGCAACGCCCTGAGGCCCCGTCTCAAGTGAGCCGAGGACGAGGAAGGTGGTGCGGAGCAGCGGCGGGGCGGCGCGCCGGATCACCCCTGCAATCATCTGTTGTGCGCGGGCCGTTTGGCGCCGCGGCGGCCCGACGTCGGCCTCCCGCAGCGCGCGCGCACGGACGGGTCCTGGACGTGAGGCCAGCGGCGCTGCAGCGACGAGCATGGCGGCGTCTGATGCGACGGGCACGTGCAGTCGGCCGGCGTTTCCCTAGTCGCGAGAGCACCAGCACCGTCCGAGAGCGACGGATCCCCCCCCCCCCGTCATCGGGCACCCCTCCTCTGCCTCAGGCCGCCCCCACCCCCTCCAGCGCAGGAGGGCGCTGGAGGCCAGGCAGGCCCGCGGGGAAGCGTGTTCCGCCGAGCCTCGGCTGCGGCGCTGCGCGCCCCCTGGGGAGGACCAGGAGGGGGAGGGGCAGAGGAGGCACTCGGGCGTCCCAACACGGTGCGGCGACAGACCGTGCTGTGATCTCGAAATCCGCAGAGACCCCAACGCACGGTCCGTCACAAATCACCTGAGACGACATCGCAGAACGACCCAAGACCCAAAACCGAGCGGTCACCCCGAATCCCCCACCGACTGACCATGGAGCGAACGAAAACGGTGACCATGACCAAGACTGAACGCAGAAATGTCAGCATGAATCTTTGTCACGGTCCATCTTGATCATTGTCAAGTCGTGGATCGTCCTCACGAATCGGCGACGGCTGGCATGGACCAATACCAAGATCAGCGTCGACAAGAAAACGGAATCAAAACGAAAACGGTCCACGAGATCGCCAAAACCAAAACGCCGTTTAGAGCTCGAGCCCTGGTGTAGTCACTGCACCGTCTGGGGGCCTCCTGGGCACGGAGCGCGGAAGAGTCGGGCTGAACTGCCCCCCAAAACCTGCACGCGAATGCGGCTTCCTCTTAAAATCTGATAGATGCGAATCGAACGCGCCATTCCACGACGAAGTGCCAAAGGGAGCGTTATACCTGCTTTTGCGCCGACGCGCGGCAAAGGCAGCCGCGGTGCGCAGCGGAGCAGAGGGTGGGGAGGAGGAGCGGGGAGGAGAAGGAAAAGGAGGAGGAGGAGGACGAGGAGGAGGAGGAGGAGGAGGAGGAAGGAAGGAGGAGGAGGAGGAGGAGGAAGAGGAGGAGTGGATGTGCGCCCTCGCCGCGGCGCGGCTCCGGGCGTTGGGTCCAGGACCGAAGGAGAAAGAGCAGCGCAAGCAGAAGCGCTTGGAGCTCCGAGCGGAGCTCTCGGATCGGCGCCGGCGCTCCCTCCCTGTGGCACCAGGGGGCTCCAGCGCGGAGGGACCCCCTCTCCGATTCGGCGGCGAGCCAGGCGGGGAAGCGAGAGGGGGCGGGCCTTCTCAGAACGCTCGGAAGTCCGCCGGCCTTCTGAGAAGTTTCTAGGCCTTCCCCGAAGACGCAAGCAAAAAACTCTCGGAAGGCCAGAGGCCTTCTGAGAAGCCCTTCCGCCATCTGAGAGGGCCTCCTCCTTCTCACGTTCCCCCCTCGCTCGCCGCCGAGATTTCTTCACGCCAGATTGAAGAAGCCAAGACGTCGCACGTCCAGGGCGGCTGCATCTCCGAGGGGGAGGGGGAGGAGGAGGAGGAGGAGGAGGAGGAGGAGGAGGAGGAGGAGGAGGAGGAGGAGAAGGAGGAAGGAGGAAGGAGGAAGGAGGAGGAGGAGGAGGAAGGAGGAAGGAGGAAGGAGGAAGGAGGAGGAGGAGGGGAGGAGGAGGAGGGAGGAGGGAGGAGGAGTGCACGTACTCAAAGAGGAAGAGACGAGGGCAAGCGGGCAAGACGCGAGACGAGGGCAAATTGTCCGCACGCGTCCATCCGCTGGCACGCTGTGCGCCGCGTCCATCCGAGGAGGGAGGAGGAGGAGGAGGAGGAGGAGGAGGAGGAGGAGACCGAGGAGGAGGAGGAGGAGGAGGAGGAGGAGGAGGAGGAGGAGGAGGGGGAGGGGGGCCCCGAGGGGCGCAGCACGGGCACGCGCGCCGCCCGTGCTGCTCCGTGGAGCCGCTCGACGAGGCCGCCGGCCCCGCGAGGCCCACCGCGGGGGCCCTGGGCGCCCGCATTGGCTCGGCAGCGGGCGACCGACGCTGAGATCCCGGCACGGGCAGCTTTTCACGACGGGCGCTGTCGCTCAGTCTCGGGCCCCGGCTGCGGCCGGCCGAACTGCTCCGACGAGCCCACCGAGCCGCCGACCGACCGACGCACCGACCGGCGACCGACGGCGCTGGCCGCGCCGTGCGCGCGCCCCGCGCGCAAGCTCAAGTCGGGCGTGTCTCTTCGCTCTACAGGAGGAATATCCCCAAATAGTCAAAAAGAAAGTCAGGGGACGATTTTTGGAGTTGTTTGGTTTTTTTTTTGCGACAACGCCCTCGCACATCGCTGCGGCTTGAAGAACGACGCAGGAAGAGGGGGCCCGGGGCCCCGGTCGTGATTCTTTCTGCGACGCTGCAATGGTTTGCAGCGTCGGACCTCAGGGGACGCCACCTCCAGAGGCCTCCTAGATGGGGTCGGAGTAGATGGGGTCGGAGGATCGCGCCGCATCGCCGATACTTCAGCGATATATCGGCGATGTGTCGGCGATGCACTGGCGATGCAACGTCGACATCAGCGATGCACTGGCGACGTCGACGCGAAGCAGATCGGGCTCAACATCGAGCCACATCGGCGATGCATCGGCGATGCGACGCGATCCTCCGACCCCATCTACTCCGACCCCATCTCTGGAGGCCTGGAAATGGACACCAACACCAACACAGGGGGGCTGCCTCCACAGTGTGGTGTTGGTGGTAATATTTCGGCCACCTTGGAAGCCAGGATGCTTCCACCATCACCGAGATCGGGATCTCCTTCCCTCGGTGGAGGCCCACGGCCGATCTTGGTGTTGGCGTCAACCTCTAGGCCTGCGAGACCCCATATGGGAGGCCTGGAACCTCCTCGCCCCGGGCTGGAGCCGCTTCCTCCCGCCCGCTCGCTGGCCTCGCAGGCCTCCGCCCGCGGGGTCGGGGCCCTCCGCCGGAGGGCGCCGGGGCGCGCCCTGCACTGCTCCAGGCCGCCCTCCAGGGCGGGAGCTCGCGGAAGGGGCGGGAGGGGGGGACGTTCGCGCCTGGGGCCGCCATGGACTCGGGGACCTATGGCACTCACTGGAGCCGCCCAGACTTCAGGCACCACGGATCTGGGTCGGCTTGGCGGGACCAGCCTTGCGCGACCTGGCGCCGTCTTTCGGCTCCCCATAGTCCGATGACGAACTGCCGCGTGGGATGCGTGTGAACGAACTGAAAGGCGCACGGCTGACCTGGCACACACAGTGTGGCCTGGCGGCGGAGCCGCGTGGGCCCTTTCCCTTGGGCGCTCGGTGGCATCGCGCTGCCCACGGAGCGGGATTAACACCACCGGCAGCGGCGGCAAGGCGAGCAGCGGCAGCGGAGGCGCCAGCGCCATCAAGCGTCAAGGCGGAGAAGCTCGTCGCCCCACCGGCCGCTGGGCCGTCAGCGGCAGCGGGCACCTATGCTGAAGGCCCAGGGGTGCAGCGGCGGCGGCGGCAGGCCTGGGCCAGGAAACACGGGTGCCAGACACAAGTTGCGGACAGGATCAGGACGCACACCTTGCTAGGCAGCAGGAACGCGACGCTCATCATGCAGGTGATGCTGCCCAGCATGTTAGTTACGGCAGAACAGCTCCGCGGGGTCAGAAAGGACCACCCGCGGTGCGCTACGCAGGACAGCGCCTTGGAGCTGTCAAGCGTAGGGCGGGCGCCAATCAGCATGTGTAGGGCGCTGTTGCCCAGGATGTGGTATTCCCAGGGGTTGCTGAAGTCGCCGCCGTCGAATTGACGACGAGGTCGCCGCGCAGCAGCGGGTGGCCGTGGCGGCTTCGATTGTGAAGATACCCATCGGTCGGAAGAAGTAGGTAGAAACATGAAATAGGAAGGCGTTGAAAGTAGATTGGGTTCCGTCCACCCCCTAATGACGAAAAAGGTGAAGCAACTCGATCATTGAAGCAGGAAGACGCTTAAAGTAGATTGGAACCTGCGAATCCCTAAATACTTACTTTCAACGGAGACGGCCTCCTCCTCCTCCTCCTCCTCCTCCTCCTCCTCCTCCTCCTCCTCCTCCTCCTCCTCCTCCTCCTCCTCCTCCTATCCCCGAAGACGCACTCGGAGTCACTGTCAGGGCCCCGCAACTGGCATCAGTGAGTTGCTCCGAAACACGTGGCCAACGTGCGCCGCCGCGACACTGTCCAAGAGCACAGGAAGCCCACGAAAGGAGAACGAGGGAGAAGAGGAGGGGAGGGAAGAGAAGGGGCCACGGCGCTGGGAGAAGGGAGGGACGAGGCGGGAAGGAGGGAGGAACGAGGTGGGAGGGATGGGGGGAGGACGCAGGCGGAAGGAATAGGAGGAGGAAGAGCAGCAGGGACAGGGCAACACGCGAAAGGGAGAGGCCTCTTGCAACCTGTCCAGGCTGTACTCCATCAAATTCCCCTTGAGCTTGCCCTTGGTGTCTGCGCTAGCCGTCGTGGCCTGGCGACATGATAGGCAGGGCTGGGAGCGGAGCGACGGGGCAGCAGCAAGGGGGGAGGAAGAGGAGGAGGGGGAGGGGGAGGAGAAGGAGGAGGAGGAGGAGGAGGAGAAGGAGGAGCCGTAGCCAGTTTGGCTCAAGTTGCCTTCTTCCCAAGGTGGTTGAGTCAACCCGCGGTTCGGGGGTCCCCCAGCCAAGGCCAGGGACCCCCCTTCGTTCAGCTCTCTGCCAGCATGCCCAAGAAGGGCAATAAACGCAGCGGATGGTTTCGCAACTGCTGGGCCTGCCCCAGCAAGCGCTGCCAAGTCAAGGATAACTATGACTGGCGGACAACGTGCTACGCGTGTGGCACTTCGAAGCCGAACTGCCTGTGGTGATCGATCCTCCTACTTCTGGGGGGGCTTGGGGCAAGCGGGTCTTGTCGGATGATGAGTTCCAGTTTTGGCTCCAGCTCGGCGAGCCCACCTTTCAAGTTGCTTCACCGCCGCGCCATGGCCACCGAAGGGCTCGCCGAGCCAGTCATGGTCAGGGTGCAGGCCTCGCAGGACGTCGGCACCTCGTCGGCGCAGCTGCTGGCGCCTCGGGAGGGCGCGGCCGGCGGCCCAGAAGGCCATCGCCCACGCCTTCGGGGTGGAGCACGAGGTCACGGAACTGCAGCAGAAGTGCGATACCGCTCGCACGCGAGCGGCGGGCGCTTTTGAAAGGGAACTTGGACACACAAATAAATACACACTAATAACCAGATTCCCCATATTTTCCCATATGTTCTGGGTTTTTGTCTTCCCCCCATTTCCCATATTTTCCCATATTTTCCTGGGAATCGACTATTAATTGTGTCTGTGTGTTTTTTCCCCTCCTGAGTTTTGGCGGTTCCTGCCCTGGCGTTTCTCGACGCAGGCCAGTTCCAGGCGCCCCGTGTGGCGCTGGACGGAGCCGTGGGGGCGTCGGCGGCGCAGGCGGCCCCGCTGCGCAGCTGGCACGGGCCCTGGGCGCCGCCCAGCAGGTGTTGGGTGCCATTGGTCTGAGGTCGGGCCCGTCCCCCTCCAGGGGGTTTTTGGGCGAAAAAATTAAAGAATAGTCAAAAAAAGAACCCAAAAATGATGATTGTATTTATTTCTTTTATATATATTAAAAAAGAAAGAGAAAAAAAAAAAAAACAAAAAAAAAAAAAAAAAAAAAAAAAAAAAAAAAAAAACTGCGACGCACCCAACCCACGCGCATCAAATGGCAAGAGGAGCATGCCAACATTAGCAGGAACAACGACAGTGTAGACGCGGCGATTCGCTGCGCAAGCTACATGGGACGCGCATGCGCTGCACGATTCACAGGACGACGATCGAAAGAACGAGGCTTGAGGCCCCAGGATCAAAGAAGAACGGGTACGGGAACGAGGGGTAGGAGAGGGATGGAATGGAGGGCGGGGGGGGCGAAAGGCCATCGCGGAAGCAGCAGCATGCATGGAGAAGGTGAGGCGGGGAATAGGACGACGATGAAAGCGGCGGGAGGAGACAGAAGACTGCCGCGTTTTTCAAGTGCGAGCTAAATCCGCAGCGCTGCCTGCGCCGTGTCGTCGCAGAGTTCCACATGATAAAACTTGTTTAGAGTGCAAGGAACGAGAGAGGCGTAGCTCGCCCGCTAGCTTCTCCGCCCCCTTCCCGCACATTTCAGCGCGGGAGCTGAACGCTCGCAGGCGCGCCGCCAGGTCTGCGGGCGGCCCGCGGGAAAGAAACTCAAGGCCGGGGTCGCGCATCATCAATCGGTTGTCCATCGTCCAAAGTTGCACTGGCGACGTACTGGTTGAACGCGGAGCGAGCAGCATCACGCGCGTGCCTGAACGCCACGCAGGTACAGTGCACGCGCGATTGGGACTTCAGGTCGATCACGCGCGTCTCCACCAGGCTTGGCAACACCACGCGACTGAGGATCTCACTGCGGTCTGCCATGCTGCTGTCCGCGAATGCAATGCGCTGCCTGCAAGTAAGGCGGCGGCGTCCACTTGTCTCAGAAGATGTTCCCGCGGGCCCGAAGGGCGACCGCCAGCTCGAGCCGCGGCGCCGGCAGGCCAGATAAGGATCATGCAACAGCAAAGACGATGACAGAGCAACGAGGTATCGGCGAGTGCATGACCGGCCTCCGTTTCCTGCACTTCTTTCCTGTAGTTCCCCTAGCTCATCGAGCTCAGCAGATGTTTCTGCGGGTCCGAAGGACGACCGCCAGCTCGAGTCGCAGCGCCACGTGGCACGAACCGCAGAGCAAGGGCACGCGAGCATTGCTCGTGGTCAGAATCTGAGTCCCCGTGGTGCCTCACTCCGCTGGCCACCCACCAGCAGCCCTCGAAAGTGGCGACAGTTTCACAGATCGCAGCCGCCCAGGGGTGGCGAGGTCTAATCTGAGTCCCCGTGGTGCCTCACTCCGCTGGACCCACCAGCAGCCTCGAAAGTGGCGACAGTTTCACACAGGGATGGCGAGGTCTAATCTGAGTCCCCGTGGTGCCTCACTCCGCTGGACCCACCAGCAACCCTCGAAAGTGGCGACAGTTTCACAGATCGCAGCCCCCCAGAGATGGCGAGGTCTAATCTGAGTCCCCGTGGTGCCTCACTCCGCTGGACCCACCAGCAGCCCTCGAAAGTGGCGACAGTTTCACAGATCGCAGCCCCCAGAGATGGCGAGGTCGAATCTGAATCCCCGTGGTGCCTCACTCCGCTGGACCCACCAGCAGCCCTCGAAAGTGGTGACAGTTTCACAGATCGCAACCCCCCCCCCAGAGATGGCGAGGTCTAATCTGAGTCCCCGTGGTGCCTCACTCCGCTGGACCCACCAGCAGCCCTCGAAAGTGGCGACAGTTTCACAGATCGCAGCCCCCCTCTGGGATGGCGAGGTCTAATCTGAGTCCCCGTGGTGCCTCACTCCGCTGGACCCACCAGCAGCCCTCGAAAGTGGTGACAGTTCCGCAGATCGCGGCCCGCCAGGGATGACGTGAAAGGCAAGAGAAGAGAAGAGGAAGAGCGAAGAGAGGCGGGGAAGGGAAGCAAGAGAGGAGAGGAAGAGGGAAGAGAGGAGGAGGAGGCGGGAAGGAAGGAAGGAAGGTGGAGACCGCAGTGCTCTATTCAAAGCGAGTGCCCAACGCAGGAGGGTTGGGAACAAAAAAAAAAAAAAACACGCCCCCGGATTATTTCTAACTCTGTTTGAACACTCCCCCTGTAGAGGGACAGGCCCGACTTAACATTGGCCCTGGCCGGGCAGCACGCGCGGGCAACGGCGGCCGCGCCCCTCCGCCCGCCGCGGGGGGGGGGGGGGGGCGCGGCCCCAGGGCGTGCCGCCCCGACCCGCCGCGGCACCCGCGGCCCCGGCCCAGGTGGTGGTGCACCCTGCCCCTGCCGCAGTGGTGGCCGCCCCCCCCAGCACAGCCTGTGCTTCGGCGGCGAGCGAGGGGGGGGGAGGTGAGAAGGAGAAGGACTTCTCAGAAGGCTCGGAGGTATCCTGGCCTTCTGAGAGGTTTTCGAAGCCTTCCCCGCAGACAAAACAAACTGCTCAGAAGGCGCAAGGGCTTCTGAGAAGGCCCGCCGCCTTCTGAGAAGGCCTGCTCCCTCTCATTTCCCCCCCTCGCTCGCCGCCAAGTGCTGCTTCGGCCGCGGTGGGGGCTGATTTGGCTGAGCGGTGCTACCAGCAGGGCGGCCACCCGGGCGGAGGCGCCTGGGAGGCAGCAGGTGCCGACGATTCCGACGACGGCATGGGCGCCGTCGAGGGGCCAGACGCGCTGGCAGCTGGTGCGCCAAGAGCCGCAGATCCTGCCCCAGCCGCTCGGGGTGCTGAAACTATTCGCGGCCTCGGGGATCTCGCTCCCCGTGCACGTGCTGCTGCCGAGGCTGCCGTGGCGGGCGCCGCCGCCGCTGACGCGCCTCGCCCTCGCCCCCGCAGCCGCCCGCAGCCCTGGCAGCCTGGCAGCAGCAGGGCGCCGTGGCGGCGGGGATCGGGCCGCCGGGCGGCTGCGAGGGTAGCGCTGGTGGCGCAGCCCAGGCCCCAGCGCCCGCTGAGCAAGGCCCGTCTGCTGGCGATGGTGGTGGGCCTTCGGCTGCAGGTGCGAGCCCGACTCCACCAAAACAATGGACATTCACCACCTGCAGTACCGCGAGCTGGAAATCCTGGCAGCATCTTCTTCCGTGCGAAGCTGGAGGGGATTTCGTGCTACTTCCAGAGGCAGCCGTGGCACTTGACGACCCCGGCACGGCGGAGTCTTCTCTAGGTCGGCCTGGTTGGAAAATCAAGGGGTCACCGTCTCGCGACACGGGGGGAGTCTCTCTGCTGGGGTGGCGGTCTGCGTTAGACCGCACATCGGGCTCGGAGAGGCCCCCATCCCCAATTGTCCCTGGCCTTCGGATCGAGTCAACTTGATGTGGGTCAACGGTCTCGTTCGAGGAGGCTTTCTTGTGGGGTCGATTTACCTTGTCACGGGAGGGGATATGGATGACGTTTCGCTCGGGATTCTGAAGCAGCTTGGAGAAGCCTTGAAGGCTCTGGGGCAGCCCTTTGTTTTGGGAGGGGACTGGAACGTCGAGCTGGATGCGCTTTTAGAGTCTGGATGGGCGGCTTCTCTGGCGGCGTCGATCGTCTCCCCAGGCACTTACACTTGCAGGGGCTCAGGGTCTAAGTGGCACACGTGGGATTACTACGTGGCCTCTGCTGGTTTCTTCCTAGTGTCTTGGGATGCGCTCGGCAAGACGAGGTGTCCACCAGCCCTCATTGGGCCGTACCCGTGCGGCCGAAGTTATCGGGACGGCCCTCCTCCATCCAGCTTCCATGTTTCAGGTTGCCCAAGCAGTACCCCACGGAACTCCCTGTTGGACCCCGTCCTGAAGGCTTAGATTGGGATCGCGTTTTGATGTTCGTTCAGAACGTGAGCCAGGCCAGTGACCTCTCCAATGCT